AATCCTCTAGCCTCTCTAACTTTTCATAGCCCCTTCTGCCAACAACACGATATCATCTGCATACGCTAGAGAATATGTTCTCCTTTCCCCCAGTGACATCCCTCCTCACCTAATCCTTTCCTCCTCCAAATCTGCCGGCAATAAATTAAATAGCATTGGACTCAATGGACATCCCTGCCTTATCCCCTTTGCCGTCCAAACACTTTCCCCACTTCTCTTTCTACCCTTACTCTGCTCCTCATCTCCCTCATCATCTCCTCCATTTTTTTAGGTTTCTCCCCTTCTACTACTTCTTCTGTTACTATCACTTGTTCTCTCACTTCCTCTTCTTCTAGACGGTTTTAGAGTTCTGTAATCTGATATAGGAAAGACAGTTTCTTCCACTATTTCTTCTAGAGGACCTTCGGTAATTGTTGTCACAGGTAATTGTCCTTTCTCTTCTACAGTTACTTCTTCTGTTATTTGCTGCTTCTGTCCTTTACGTTTTATAATTTTCTTCTTAGTGATTTTCTTAGGTCTCTCACCTTCTACTACTTCTTCTGTTACAGTTATCTGTCGTCTCACTTCCTCCTCTTCAGACGATTTTATAGTTTTGTATCCGGTAAGGGAAAGACAGTGTCTTCCACTATTTCTTCTAGAGGACCTTCGGTAATTGTTGTCACAGGTAATTGTCCTTTCTCTTCTACAGTTACTTCTTCTGTTATTTGCTGCTTCTGTCCTTTACGTTTTATAACTTTCTTCTTAGTGATTTTCTTAGGTTTCTCCCCTTCTACTACTTCTTCTGTTACGGTTACTTGTTCTCTCACTTCCTCCTCTTCAGACGGTTTTATAGTTTTGTAATCTGGTAAGAGAAGTATAGTTTCTTCAACTATTTCTTCTAGTGGACCTTCGGTTATTGTTATCACAGGTAATTGTCCTTTTTCTTCTACAGTTACTTCTTCTACTACTGGTTGTTTTTGCTCTTTTCGTTTTATAATTTTCTTTTTTGTAATTTTTTTATGTTTCTCTACTGTTTTGTCTGTTTCTTTTATCTGCTCTGTAGTTTCCTTCTTTTTAGACGGCTTAGTCATTGTGGATTCTGATAATGGAAGTATATTATCGATGATTTCTGTTATTGATCCTTCTATAACTCTCGTTTTGGGCTTTTGTCTCTCTTCTTCTGTTACAGTATTTATAATTACATCTTTATTTTGATTTATTTCTCGCAATTTTTTAGTTTTTATTAGCTTTATGTCTTCTATTTCTGTTGGCTCTGTTACTTCTTCTATGTGCATGTATTCCGTTATTGGTGTAGATGCTGCTTTCATATCTTCAATTTCTTCTTCTATTACTATAACATTTTCTTGTTCTTTACTTTTTGGTTCTTTTTCTTATTATTGTTTCTTTGTTTTAACTGCAGTATTGTTTTCTTTACTACCACGTCTAAATTTAGTTGTGTATTCTTCTGTGATTCTGTGTCAGATTCAGTATTTGGTTGATATTTTGTTTCGTGTTTGTAGTGTGTTGTGTGATTGTGATGTTATGTTGTTGCTCTGATGCTTCTGTGGTTTCTGAAATGTATACAGAACAGGTGTGGCACGTGATTAAGTTTGTATATTTTTAAAATTTATTTTTGATTATTTACGTTTTGAGTTTTGACTCATACTAGTAATTTGTTATTAAATTTATTATATTTTTTAGTTATATTTAAGGTATTTGGTTTTTGAATATTTTATATTATTTTATCAGATATGAATAATTACTGATGAAGCTGTAGAAAGAAATGCATGCTCTTATGTAGATGTGTTTAATATATGCACTTTTAATATAAATATCAGTTACAATTGTTATATTTAATAGGTTCTACACTTACCTGAGAGAATAAAAAATTTTAATATTATGCAAGCTGTTTGTTAACTTACTTAAAAATTTTTTAGAAATTGTATGTTTATTATAATTCTTCTTTGCTAATATAAATTATTATTCTATGTCCATGTTGTCTGATTTGTTAAGTGTTATCAATCAAACAGTTACCGTGTTCCGTGAAGATGAAATTTTTCTAAACGTTTCTTTTGATTTGTCAATGCAGTCAGTCAGGTTACTTTTTCATAGGAGTAATACTTACCCACAATTTTTTCCAAGTTGTCTTCGATAGACGTGCTTGCTAATTTTGGTACTACTGGTACGACGGGTTCGGGCAGATTTGATTCAATTTCAGCAACATGTTGTAGTTCAGTAACAATTATGCCTTGCATTTCATCTTTTATTCCACGAGCTGTTTTACTTTCTGGTTTTGGAATAACGAATTCTGATACTACACTTTCTGGAAGAATTTCAGTTTTCAAAGTCAACTTTCTGTTCTATAATATCTGTTTGTGCTTTCACTTCCTTAGTTAATCCTTTGATCACGTCTTTTGCTTCTTTTTCTGTAGCAGTTATTTGAATAACTTCAATTCCTTCAGAAATACGGAATGAAATATCAGCTTTTGCGCTTGCCGTCGTTTTTTCAGGCTTAAGCAAACGTTCGCTCTCATGAGGAATTGATTCAATCTGCTGTATACTTTCAAATGGTATTTGTTCTGGAATTATTTGTTTTATCTCAGGCTTTATGGATTCTATAATATCGTCAATTGTTGAAGTTGTAATCACTTGAGATTTTTGAGCTACAGGCATACTCAACATACTCTGTTCGGCAGTTTGTTTAGTCGCTTCTTCTAGTTTTTCTAAGACTTTTTTTTCTTCTTTCTCTGTAGCAGTGACTTGAATAATTTCGACACCTTCAGAAACGCGGAATGTAACTTCGGCTGTTGTACTCGGGGTTTTTTATCAAGAAGCAGTAAATGTTCGCTTTCATGAAGAACTGACTCAGTCTGTTGTACACTTTCAAATGGTATTTGTTCAGGTATTATTTTCTTTCCTTCTGGTTTTGAAGATCTTATAATTTCCTCTATTGTTGATGATGTAATCACTTGGGATTTTTGAGCCACGGGCATACTCAACATTCTTTGCTCGGCTGTCTGTTCAATTGCTTCTTTTGGAGCTTTTAGGATATCTTCAGTTTCTTTCTCTGTAGCGGTTATTTGAATTACTTGAACGCCTTCGGAAACGTTAAAAGAAATTTCTGCTGTTTTACTTGATGCTTTTTTATCGGGAAGGAACGAACTTTCTCTTTCATGACTAATTGATTCAATTTGTTGAATACTTTCAAATGGTATTTGTTCCGGTACTATTTTCTTTGTATCAGGCTTAGAAGGTACTATAATTTCTTCTGTTGTTAATGTCGGAAATACTTGAGATTTTTGAGCTATGGACATACTTAACATGCTCTGCTCGGCTATTTGTTCAGTTGCTTCATCCAGACTTTTTATGAGATCTTTTGTTTCTTTCTCTGTAGCTGTTACTTCAATAATTTCGATGCCTTCGGAAACGCGGAAAGAAACTTCGGCTGTTGTAGTAGGTATTTTCTTATCAGGACCCAATAAACATTCGCTTTCGTGAGGAATTGACTCACTTTGTTGTATACTGTCAAAAGGTATTTGTTCAGGTATTATATTCTTTAACTCAGGTTTTGCAAACTCTACAATTTCTTTGGTTGTCGATGACGCAACTACTTGTGATTTTTGTGCTACAGGCATACTCAGCATGCTCTGCTCGGCAGTCTCTTTAATTGCTTCTTCCAACATTTTTATGACATTTTTTGTTCCTTCTCCGTAGCGGTTACTTGTATAACTTCGATGCCTTCGGAAGTACGAAATGCAACATCGGCTATTGCACTTGGTGTTTTCTTATCAGAAACGAGCAGACGTTCTTTTTCATGAGGAATCGATTCAATTTGTTGTATACTGTCAAATGGTATTTGTTCAGGTATTATTTTTTTTACCTCAGGTTTTATTGACTCTAAAATTTCTTCAATTGTCGATGACGCAATTATTTGTGATTTTTGTGCTACGGGCATACTCAGTATGCTTTGTTCGGCAGTCTGTTTAGTTGCTTCTCCCAAACTTTTTACAGTTTCTTTTGTTTCTTTTTCCGTACTGATTACTTGAGTAACTTCAATGCCTTCGGAAATGCAAAATGTAACGTCGGCCGTTGTACTTGACATTTTTTTATCGGGAGTAAATGAACGTTCACTTTCATGAGAAATTGACTCTATTTGTTGTATACCTTCAAATGGTATTTGTTCCGGTATTATTGTCTTTAATTCAGGTTTAGGAAATTCTATAATTTCCTGTGTTGTTGATGATGTAACCATTTGAGTTTTCTCAGCCACCGGCATACTCAGCATGCTTTGTTCGGCTGTTTGTTTAATTACTCCTTCCAATATTTTTACTGCTTCTTTTGTTTCTTTTTCTGCAGCAGTTACGTGGATAACCTCAACGCCTTCGGAAACGTGAAATGAAACTTCGGCTGTTGCATCTGGTCTCTTTTTATCAGGATGCAACGAACGTTCACTTTCATGAAGAATTGATTCAATCTGTTGTATACTTTCAAATGGTATTTGTTCAGGTATTATTTTCTTTATTTCAGGTTTTACAGATTCTATAATTCTTCTGTTGCTAATGTCGGAAATACTTGAGATTTTTGAGCTACGGACATACTTAGCATGCTTTGCTCGGCTGTTTGTTGAGTTGCTTCTTCCAGATTTTTTATCACATCTTTTGTTTCCTTTTCGGTAGCAGTTACTTGAATAACTTGAACGCTTTCGGAAACGCCGAATGAAACTTCGGCTGTTGTACTTGGAGTTTTTTTATCTGGGCTTAATGAACCTTCGCTTTCGTGAAGGATTGCTTCGATTTGTTGTATACCTTCAAATGGAATTTGTTCAGGTATTATTTTCTTTATTTCAGGTTTTTGCAGATTCTGTAATTTCTTCTGTTGTTAATGTTGGAAATACTTGAGATTTTTGAGCTACAGACATACTTAGCATGCTTTGCTGAGCTTTTTGATTAGGTGTTTCTTCCAATTCTTTAATTTCTTTCATTTCCTTCTCTGTAGTAGTTACTTGGATAACTTCAACACCTTCAGAAGTGCGGAATGAAACATCGGCTATTGTACTTGGTGTTCTTCTTTTATCTGAGATAAGTGAGCATTCACTTTCATGAATTATTGACTCGATCTGTTGTATACTTTCAAATGGTACTTGTTCCGGAATTATTTGTTTCATTTCAGGTTTTATGGATTCTATAATTTCGTCAGTTGTTAATGATGTTACTACTTGGGATTTTTGAGCTACGGGCATACTCAACATGCGCTGCTCGGCAGTCTGTTTAGTTGTTTCTTTCACTCTCTTTGCAACTTCTTGTGCTTCCTTTTCCGTAGCGGTTACTTGTATAACTTCAACACCTTCGGAAACACGGAATGAAATGTCAGCCGTTGCACTTGGTGTGTGCTTATCAGAAACGAGCAAACATTCTTTTTCATGAGGAATCGATTCAGTTTGCTGTATACTGTCAAATGGTACTCGTTCTGGCATTATTTTCTTATTTCAGGTTTTGCAGATTCTATAATCTCATCAGTTGTTGATGATATAATCACTTGAGATTTTTGAGCTACGGGCATACTTAACATACTCTGCTCGGCAGTCTGATGAGTCCCTTCTAGGCTTTTTACGATTTCTTTTACTTCCTTTTCTGTAGTAGTTACTTGGATAACTTCAATGCCTTCGGAAATTCGAAATGAAATATCGGCTGTTGCACTTGATGTTTGTTTATCAGAAACAAGTAGGCGTTCTTTTTCATGAGGAATTGATTCAGTTTGTTGTATACTTTCGTATGGTATTTGTTTCGGTGTTATCTTCTTTATTAGAGGTTTGGCAGTCTCTATCATCTCATCCGTTGTTAACGATGGAATTGTTTGTGATTTTTCGGCAACGCGCATGCTCAACATACTTTCTTCAGCTACTTGCCTAGTTGGTTCATTTAGTGTGGGTAGTTCTTTCTCCGCTTCATTGTAAGGTACTTCAAATATCAATAATGGCATCAATTCTTCTAAATTTGGCTTTCCTTTCTGTTGTTCAGATATTTGCATTTTTGCAAGTTCTTTGACGGTGCTTACTGGCAAGATTTCTAATATTTCTGCTACTTCTCTACTTAATATTTTAGGCAGAGCTTTACCTTCTTTTGGAATCTCTTGGTAACTCGGTAATTCTTGTTCTTTCTCTGTAGAAATTACTTCAGACATAATAATAAAATTCATTTCTTCGATATCTAACTTTCCTTTCTGATCTTCTTTTTTCTTTACTTCAGGTATTTGTTTGACAGTTGAGGCGGTTACAATTTCAATTTTTTGTGCTATTTCTCTACCAGAAAGGCATGGTTTTGCTATTTTCTCGTCTAATCTTTCTAAATTCGGCAATTGTTCTTCTGTTTCAATAGATATTATTTGAGAAACCGTGAGTGGTGAAAACTCGTCCACACGTGGTTTACCTTCTTGTCCTATTGGACTTTTGGGTCTCGAAAATTCTTCGGTATTTGTAACGGTGAGTACTTGAGAAGTTTCAGCAATTTCTCTACCAGACATCGTAGGCATTGCCGTAAGTAGACTAGGTACATCAGGACTCTGAAAAGTTTCTTCAGTTTCATGAGACAATACCTGAGATATAGTCAAAGAGGATAATTCTTCTACCTTGAATTCTCCTTTACGCTCATTCGGTGCTATTTGTTGTGAGAGTTCTTCTGTACTTATCATCGTTAAAATTTGGCTTGTTTCGGCTATATCTCTACCGGATAAATTAGCTTGTGCTATTTTTTCCACAGGAATATCTGGACTAAGCAGAAAAGTTTCCGTTTCATTAGATACGGTTTGCATTACATTCAAAGGTAATAATTCTTCGAGATTCGGTTTTCCTTTTTGTACTTCAGGCTTTTGAAGTTCAACAAATTTATCTACATTTAATACAGTCGTTATTTCCATAGTTTCCGCTATATCTCTTCCATACAAACTTGTCTGCGCCATTCTCTTGATTGGAATTTTGGGACTGGCGAGAACACTTTCGATTTCCTGAGATTCTATTTGTGAAATCATTAAAGGCGTTAATTCTTCGAGAGTGGGTTTACCTTTTTGTTTTTCGGTTTCTTTTTTAGGAATAAATTCTTCAGCGCTAGTCATTGTTAAGACTAGTGTTGTTTCCGCGATATCTCTACCAAATAAATTTGGTTGTGCTATTTTCCTCTTAGGAAATTCAGTGCTAATTAATGTTTCTTCGGTTTCATTAGAAATAACTTGTGAAATAGTCAATGGAATTAGTTCATTGATTTGTTGGCTACTTTTCTGTTCTTCAGGTCCTTTTATAGCAAGCTCATTGGTTTCGGATATTGTTGTTACTTGAATTGTCTCGGCGGCTTCTCTACCAGAAACATTGAAGTCAGCCTTGCAATCTTTTGGAGTAATTTTACTGATTAAGACGTCTTCAACTTCATTTGAAACTATTTCGGAAATGGTTAGTGATGATAATTCTTCAAATTCTGATTTACCTCTTTGTTCGTATAATTTAGTAGTTTCCGCAAGATCTTGGGTTGTGTTTGCAGTAACTATTTGAAGAATTTCCGCGGCTTCTTTACTCGTTAAATTTGGTTGCGCCTGATGCTGTTTCGGTGGAACAACTTCAGGTAAGATATTCTCAATCTCATTAGAAGCTATCTCAGTAATTACAACTGTCGTAAGACCTTCGAACTGTGGATTGCCTTTTTGTTTTTCAGGTTGAAAAGTGCTCTTAAAAATATCCTCCTTTTCAGCCGTCGTAGTTTCAACGTTTACTATCGTCTCCATCGTGGTTTGACTTATAGTTGCTTGAGAAGAAAGTGGTTTGTCTTCATAGAGCTCTTGAGTGCTTTGTATGCTTTCTACAAAAGAACCTTCGATAGTTTGAAACAGATCAATGCCTGGCGTAGCTTTGACTTCAGAATGTTTTGTCGCAATATCCAATACTTTTTCCTTATCTTCGATAATTGTTTCTGAAATTTGTAACGGTTTTATTTCCGTTATATTGATATTTGCTTTTTGTGTCATTGGTTTAAAAAGACTATCAAAAGTCTTTTCGCTTTCCTCGATAAGATTTTCGTTGATAATAATGCTTTCAAACATGTCTTGGGCCGGCGTGGCTACTTGTGGTACTGAAGTACGATCAGGAAGTTGTTCAGGTACATTGACTCGTGATTCCACCATTGTAGTCTCTATTGAATCGCGTTCGGTTACAATAGAACGGATGGCTATTTGTGACGTTTTATGTTTCTTCTCTTCGAATGATTCTTCGACTTCACCAGATGTTACCTCCGTAATAAACACACTATGACCTTCCTCAAATTTTGGCACAGCTGTGCTCAATATCAATTTTGGATACTTATTAAAAGTATCTTCGCTTTCTGCACTTGGAACTTCTTGAATAATGATAGATTGAAACTCATCTTGCTTTATATGAGCTTCTGCTTGTATTTTTTCTAAAGGTTTAACGGAACCAATATTTTGCTCGACAAATATTTGAGCCTTTTGTGCAACATCCATACCAGCTTTTGTTAGTTTTATCCTAGCCGTACTCTCTTCATATCTCGGAATATTTATCGTTTTTTCCTTGTCCTGTGCTACAACGTGATCTACAGTAATACTTTTTCCTTCGACAAACCTGATGTCAACGTTACATGTATTAGGTTTGAATTTATCAAAGAATGCTGTACCTTGCTCCTGAGAAATCGTTTCGATCACATCAATACTTTCCAAAGTAGACTGAATTCTATGTGCTTCGCATATAATAGGTTCTGATGTCACAGGTAATTCTCCGAGTCCTTCGCGTAAATTAATCTCCGTTCGTTCGGCTACTTCTTTGCCCTCCATTAAAAGATTCGCTGCCTCTTGACGAAGTTTCTTTGTAGCAAATTCTTCTTCTACATCTTGAGCAGTAATAGATTCTGTAATAGCGACAAATCTATTTTCATCTAAAACAACACGTGCACTTGTTTTTGTCAGTGGTGTTTCCCGAATGCTGTCCACTTCTTTCTCTATGGGAATTTGTTCGGTTAATTGCACTGTTTCAAAAGGTTTTTGATTAATTAGCGCTGTTATTTTTGTTGGTGCTATAACTTCGTTTATTTCACCTGTACTTGAATTGAGAATTATTTCAGATCTTTCGGCTACTTCATGACCAGGAGTAATAACCGAGAGTGCCAAATGAGTTCTATCTTCCAATACCATTTTAAGGGGAGCTTCTTTATCAGCTATTTTAATTTCTGTAACAGAAGTAACGCGCTTACCCTCCTCAACGGATAATTCTGTTTTGTGCATTTCAGGCATGAATTTATCTTCGAAAGGTTTCTCTCGGTCTTGAGATATGCCTTCGGTCACTAAGAGACTTTGATGCACTTCGTGCGTAGACGATACTGTTTTAATATCTGGTTTTTCAATAGTTACTTTTCCTATAGAATGTTCAACAGCTACCGCGGTTGTTTCTGCTATACCGTGAGTGGCATTGATATTGAATGAAGCAGCATGTTTACGCGGTTGTTCTTCGATGACATACGGTGATTCTTTATCTATAGGTGTTACATGTGCTATACTTACAATTGCTTTGCCTTCTTGCATATCAATATTTATAGTTTTATTTTCTGGCATTAATGTTGGAACAAATTCTTTTTCTTTTTCTTGAATAACAGGCTGTGATTCTACTAACGGATTAAAAACTATATGATCTGGAATTGCAACAGCAGCCAATGGTATTTCGCCAGTTGCAATTTCGCCGGTACTAAAATCAGGAATCTGCATTATTGTTTCGGCCACGCCATGAGTCTCAATTAGCGCTTTCTCCGCTGTTCTTGGTTTTGGTGTTTCCTTCGGTCTATATTCGGTTTCTTTATCCTCCAAGATTACTGAAGATATTTCTATACTTTGTTCCACTATCATTGAAAGATCAGCTTCAGTCATAGATGGTATTTTATCTTTCCCGAGTGTAGCCTCCGCTTCCGTTGGCTGTGTTTCTGTTTGTACTACTGCCTCTAACGGAATACTTGAAAGTATAGCTGTAATAGAAGTCGGTTTCGTTTCCATCAGTATTCCAGCACTAGAAGCGGGATTGACTTCGCTTTTTTCAGCAATAACATGTCCGGTAAACTGAACCTCGGCTTTTTTCTCTATAGGTTTTTTGGGAATTCGAAGGATATCTTCTTTTTCGCCTGGAATTTCAGTGAACATAGTGGCACTGATAATCTCATCAACAGATATATGGGCCGTATCGGTTTTAGTTGGTTTATCTTTAAATTCTATTTCTGTTTCTGTTGCAACAGTTTCACTTTGAACAATGCTTTCAAACGGTAAACGTTCCTCTTTCGCTGCTGCACTCATTGGCGCTTTCACATCCAAATCTCCTGGATAAATAGCCGGTGTAATCTCGGTGAGCTCGGCGATTTTATGAGCGTCAAAGCTGGTGGTAATTTGTTCGCTGGGAATATTCAGTTTCTTCAAATATTCTCGTTCCTTGTCAGATGCAATTGTTTCAATTACTGTTACACTCGTTTCTTCTTCGAACGATACATCGACTCTTTTCTTATCTGGTGTAATAAAGTCGAGCATAGGTTGTTCTGAATCACCAACTGACATATCGGATGTAACAATACTAGAATGAGTGATATGCTCAGTCGTAGCCATCGCGGAGATTGTTTCTTCATGTATTAATTCTCTTATGTTATCGGTCGCAGTTACTTCGACAGCTTCTGCCACAATATGTGCGGGAATATCAAAACTAGCAGACTTTAATTGCGGTTTTTCTATTTCTGCGAATATGCTTTCCTTGTCACTTGCTGTCACAGAAGATACAACAAGCCCTTCGCCTATTATAAATTCAAGATTAGCTCTTTTCTCTGGCGCTGGCATATGAAAGAAAGCCTTTTCAGTTTCTCTTGTCTGTACTTCTTCAGCAATAGCTGTTTCAAATGGTAATAATGTTGCTTTAGGACGTGCTTCTTGAGTAAATTCGGTAGATAATTCAATTGGGGTGACATTACTAACAATCTCAAATTTCGACGCTATATTGTGTGTTATTACATTGATTGTAGCTTCGGCTGTTTTCGGCACCTGTTTTTCATCAAGCACATCTTCTTTGTCTTCGGGATGTGTAATTTCAATTGTCAGACTTTCTCCCTCTTGGAAACTAATACCAATATTTTTAACATCAGGTTTCACATCCATCTTTAAAGGAGATTCTTTCTCAGATATCGATACTTCCATCTGTTGTACAACATCTAGTCCGTTTTGCAACTGGTTGGCACTTTCTTGATTTGGTTTTTCTTCTTTTAATTCACTTATATTGTTTGCAAGAATCATTTCTTGCGTTTCGGCTATCTCACGGCCTTCGGTTATATCTAATATAACTCTTCGTTCATTTGGTAATTTATCCATTGGCAATTCTTCTTCCTTTAATATAGTTGTTACTTCAGTGACAGTTAATTTTTCAGATCGAGCGCATACTTCGACTGCGGCATTTTGTTGAATAGGACGCGTATCTTCCTCTCTAACTCGTTCTGCTTCACTGACATTTGTTTCTGTTATTATTAATTCTTCTAGAGCTTCTTGTTGTATTATTGCTTTGCCTGATTTCGGAATATCGCTGCTTATTTTTCCAGCACTTTGTTCCACTATGACTTCTGCTTTTGACGCGATAGTATGACCAGTTATGGATGATTCAACCATATGGGTCTGTGGACCAGTATCTGGTGTATAAATATTCTCAAGATCATGTGGAATTATTTCTAAAACGCTGGCACCAGGTTTCATTTCCGTGAGTTCAATATTTGCTATCCTTCCTTCAGGTTTTGTATCCGCTTTATAAATTTCTTCCTTTTCCGCGGTTTCTTGCATAGCAACGCTAATAGTCTCTATAGGAATGTGAGATGTATATGCTTTTCCACTTATAGGTTTGTCTACCGCTAGATATTCTTCGGTAGGCGATTCTGTTCTTACTTGTTCGCATATTGGAACCACTTGCGTCATATATTCAGTATTTGCAAATGCATCTTTAACATCAGTCGCTTCAATGTATTCGGATTCTTTTTCACCTGCTATGACCATCGTAGTATGCAAGCTCTCGATTTGATTCATTGAGATTACGGCGGTCGTAGTCTCGGGACCCTTATCCTTCCTCGCCGGAGCTACATCTTCCGCCACAATAGTCTCACCAACAATCATCTCTTGTAGACCGATTGCTCCAATTTTAGCTGTAGCTATTGATAAGGCATCTTTTATTACTTCACCTAAATTATTTTCTGGTTGAGTTTCTTGAACTTCAAGTGAAATCATTGGATGAGTAGGCACTGTTTTGCCGCGATGTGATTCAGGCATCTCAAATATTTTTAAATCGGCTTCTTTTTCTATGGAAGTAGTTTGCGATATCTCAATACCTCTAACAACGTCGTAGATTGTTTCGATCGTATGAGTTTCTGGTGTAACATCTTCCTTCATAGTAGTCTCTTGATCATGAGCAAGCGTTTCGAGAATAGTTTTCGCTTCTGTCAATTGAACGGATATAGTACCGCTCTCTGAAATATACTTGAGCGTGTCTTTTAAGTCTGCGGGATAGTCTGCAGTTTGAATTTGAGATATCAAGATATGTTCCTCTGGTCGGACTGACGTTTCCGCCAATACTCCGCATGGTTTTTGATCAACACTGTAACTTCCTTCGGATTCTTGAACAATTGTATCTGTTATAGAACCAATCTCTAATGAAGAAATTGACGTAATGGCTGATTTAGTGGTGGGCTTTTCTTCATTATGATAGTCTTGTTCTTTTTCAGAAGTCATTGTCTCTATTGTCACGGCTGATATAATTTCGACAACATTTAAGTCAGCCGTAATATGTTTGCTTTGTTCGATTGTTAAATCATCTTCCTTTTGTTGAGTATCAATTGTTGAAATTGTGACTCCTTCTAAAACAGTGATATTCGGTGTCGCTTCGAAAGAATCTATTTTATGATCAGGAATATATTCACCTTCGCGCTCCTGAACAAAATCGTGACGAATAACAGCTGTTTCGTTTCCATAGGTGATTCCGATTTGAGCCATTTGACTTGGTGGTAATTTACCTGGAATGTATGTTCCTTCTTTTTCGGGTGCATTCATTTCTTCAGTTATACGTTGTTTTTGCGAGATTATCGTTTCGGTGGCAACTTCAGTAGGTACTATTAATTCCGGATAATATTTTCCTGGTTTATCCTCGGAATGTATTTCTTCCACCATTAATGGTTCTATTGCATTGACATTAATTCGAGGTTTCGTAAACATCGTTTTTGCAGATTCCAATTTATCTTCAGCCAAACCTTCTTGTATCTCATAAACCGAAAGTGATATTTGTGGTAAAACGATATCTTCCGCCGTAACACTTAACGGTGTTATAAAATCTTCGGTAGGTATTTCACTTTGATTAACTATAGTCTCTCTAACAGATGTGGCTTCCTGTACAGTAACCTGCACATTTGCATTTCGACTCATTTCCGGTGTGATCAAAGTTAGACTTGATATGTTATCATCATGAGTCATAGTTTCGCTGATAAGAAGACTTTCTTTTGTTATTATCATAGAGGTAGCTTCAAAAGAAGCGGCTTTGAAAGTATCTGAGAATTCATCAGTAGATATATGTGCTGTTGTTTCTACGGTAGAATATGGTTCTATCGATGAGATTGATATCGATGCTTTACGTTCGATAGGCTTAATGATCGTTACTTGATCGATTTCTTTTTCATGTACTGACATCGTCTGTTCTGTTAGCGCGAGAACAGTGTCCAATGTATACTTAGCTTTTGTCGATTCGGGTTTTCCAGGCGCTTGCTCGATTATATGATCTAAGGGTATTATTTGGTTACGTTGACTAGATACATTTAAAGCGATAGATGGCAATAATGGTTCCTTTATTATTTCAAATTCTTCTATTTCTTCCAGTTGTATTTCATCTTGACCGATATTTGGCCTTTTTGGCGTTAATGTTTTTCTAACATTTTCAATTGTATCTTCCTCTTCCTCTACATCTACCTGTTCTTGTATATCTTGCTTTTTGCTTATAAATCAATCTGCCCTTTGAGTCCCGTTCGAGTTCAATAATTTCTTCTTCGATTTCTTCTTTTTTTCTTTCTTTTTCAATCTCTTCGACTTCCTCGATTTTTACAATTTGAACCCCCTCTTCCCTATCTTGTGTTGTTTCTTCAATTTGATCCTTTGGTTTTCTATCTTTGCGTTTGCGCAATGTTGTGTGTGCCTGCCGTGTGTCCTCGTATTCTGTGGAAAGTATGTGAGAATTTCGTGTCAGACGTGAGTGTAACGTGATGA